TTCTTATTTTGCTTTCTTATCGCTTTGTGGCCCGCGTGTGATAAGGTCTTATGAGAAGACAAGTACCACTGAGAGTGAAACTCATTGCATTCTGGTTACAAGGCAAGTGTGCTGATGAGCTTATCTGTGGTGCCCCAGTCAGCTGTTTTGTTGCCTCCTCATAGGCTTTGTGCTAGTTTTAACAGGCTGATGTTCTCCCCTCTTCCCCAGAATTCAGAGGAGATCAACATGTCAACTTTTCTGTGGTCATAAAGTAAATGGTGCTCTTTGTTGTGGTCATAGGGCCTTCTGTTCCTCAGTATGACAGTAGCATTTACTTTTGTGGGTGTCTTTTCCCATTTCAAGAAAAGCCAAAAAGCCCTCAGGTAAACATCTGGAGGCATGCTGCTAGAGCCAAAAGGATTAGTCACTGAGGCACCACTGGGAGTCGAACCCAGGATCTCCTGTTTACGAGACAGATGCTTTAGCCAGCTTAGCCATGGTGCCCTGTGCTATATACCTAACAGAAGATAAGAGGTATTTTGTTGGAACACAAAACTCTGAGTTCATGGGAATATAAATTTGTGTTTTAGCTTTATCAGTTTTCCTTTCTATGAAATGGGTATGAGATTGCATTAGAAAATTCTCCAGTGGCTCTTGGCTCAAAAGCCATCTATTTTGTGACTGCCATTTCAAAACAGCCCCATGTTTTTGTAAGATTCCCATGGATTTCCCTCTTAGAGTGTGCATACTTTTAATCCTGAATACAAGAGTAAAGTGAAAGAAACAACAATGACCTTGGCTGCATCTACACTGCAGAATTAATGCCATTTGACACCACTTTAACTGCCATGGCTCAATGCTATGGAATTCTGGGATTTGTTGTCTTTTGAGATATTTAGCCTTCTCTGTCAGAGCTCAGGTGCCACAACATTTTACAAATTCCAGGATAGAGTTAAAACATGACAGTTAAAGCAGTGTCAAACTGCATTAATTCTGCAGTGTGGCAGTAGCCTTTATTGTAGGAATCTACTGTAGGGCCCCCAGCTAGACTGAAAATGTGGATGATGCCTTCCTAAACAAATGATCAAACATTCAAAAAAGGAGAGATATAGTACTAATGGGAGACTTCAGCCACCCTGATATTTGCTGGAAGTCACACTCTGCCAAGCATGTAAGGTCCAACAAATCCGTCACTAGCCTTGCAGACAGTTTAATTGTACAAAAGGTGGAGGAAGCAACAAGGGGAACAGATGTTTTGGATTTGATCCTAACTAACAGAAATGAACTAGTCAATAGTGTGATATCCTTAGGTGAGAGTGGATTTGTTATACAGAGAAAGGGGGGAAAGAGGAAGCCAGGAATAGTCAGACACTCACTCTGGACTTAAAGAAAGCTAATTTTAGTAAGCTTAAGATAATATTGGGTGAAATCCCATGGTCAGAAATGCTCAAATGGAAGGGAGCTCATGATGTATGGGAGTTCTGTAAAGGTGATCTACTGAAGGCATAGTTGCAAACAATTCCAAGAAGAAAGAAAAGTGGAAGGTGTCTAAACCAGGGTGCTAGTTAGTCTCAAGGGTGCTACAAGATCTCTCTACATACTGATTCTACAGACTAACACAGCTATATCTTTGAATTTATCCAAAAGTAGTAACGGAATCTGCAGGTGTAATTTCAGAGCCACTGTCAATAATCTTTGAGAATCTTGAAGGACAGAAAAGGTCCTAGGCAATTGGAGGAGAGCAAATGCTACTGTAAGAGCAATTCGACAGTTGAATAGATTGCCTCAGAACGTGGTGGACTCTCCATTTTTGCAGGTCATTAAATTGAGGTTGGATAAGCATCTTTCAGGAATGCTATGGCTGTGTATTCCTGCATGGCAGGAGGTTGAAATAGATGGTCCGCATGGTCCCTTCCCATTTTAAAATTCTATGATGCTAAGATATACTGGATTCAAAGCCTAGCCAGCACAGGCTCTGTCTGTGGCCATAAGAATTGCTGTGCATTTTTATTTTGTGTGTAAAGGAGACTTATTTTTTCATTACAAACATTCCTGGCCACATGTGGCATGAAAAGAGAATCATTCCTCTCTTACCTCTTAACAGGCAGGCAAAAGCACCACTGGGAATCAAACCCAGGATCTCTTTCTTACAAGACAGATGCTTTGACCAACGAAGCTATGATGCCTTGGCTAGTTGCTTTTCAACTTCCTCTCTTTCCACAGGCTTTGGCCACAACCTAAAAGCTTGATATTTTTGGCTCTTCTTACTGCAAGAGACATGTTCTGCCTTGGAAGAAACAGCAGCTGAGAGAGTGGCAGCACAAGCCAGCCGTGATTGTATAGTGGTTAGTACTCTGTGTTGTGGCCACAGCAACCTCGGTTCAAATCTGAGCCATGGCGCATATTCAGAACTTTCCTTTTTCACCTTAGAGAATTGGACAAGGCCCTCTGTGAACTCTTTTGAGCACACATAAATCATGCTTGGGCCAAAGGGGTTAGCTCCCAAGGCATCACTTTGTGTCAAATCTGGGATTCCTTTTTTACTAGATAGCTGTTTTGGCTAGCTTAGCCACAATAGAAATCTGACCCACTCACTGGCAGGGGGCATAACCAAACTGATGTGTTAGCATCAGGCCTCCCCTTTTGTCAGGGAGACTTAGAAGAAAGGCATTTTCTGTAATTGTGACCTGATATCCATAAGTGGGGAATAACAGCCTGTCTGGCTTGCTGATCTATTGGCATTAATTTTGCTAAGGGAGCAGTTAGCCCTTGGCTCCCCAAATTCCCTAGCTAGCAAGGTCAAGAGCCATACTAGCTCCTCTCCATAACTTTCCCATACCCTGGTTCAAATCCTGATCCAGGCCTGAATGTTCATCTTACCTTTAAAGAGCCACTTGTATTGGGATGGAGAATACCTCTCATTTTCCTCTAGACCAGCTAGTAGACATATTTGTTATTGCTTCAAAGGGCTCCAGAGGTGTACCCACCCAACAAAATGTCTGCTCATGGTGACATATTGGCTAACATCCTTAGTTTTGGCTCAACCATTCAAATCCCACTCATAGCTCTTCTTTTGCTCTGCCCCACAGACTCTGGCCAAATCTCAATTAGTTGTCAATTTTGGCCCATCCATTATCCAAAATGTTTAATAAATGTAATCCAAATTGTTGGAAATGTGAGGAGGAAACCGGGACATACCTGCACATGTGGTGGAAATGTAGATTGGCTAAGGAATTCTGGAGAACAATTAATACAGAAATAAGGGATGTTATGTATATAAAGCAGGGGTAGGCAACTTCTCTCCTTTAAGGGCCGAGGGACTTCAGCTCCCAGAATCCCAGGAGCTATTGGCCAACATGGCTGAGGCTTCTGGGAGCTGAAGTCCCTCGGCCCTTAAAGGGGAAAGGTTGCCTACCCCTGATATAAAGGTTTACCTCGACCCAAAGATATACCTGTTAAGTAGTACTACAGATGAGTTGGATGAGGAACACGGGAAATTACTTTTTTTCTTAACAACAGCAGAGAGAATGATTTATGCAAAACATTGGAGGAAAAAAAGATATCCCTCTTTTGGAGGAGTGGAGAAATAAGATTTATGAAATTTATGAAATGGAAAAATTAACACATTTATTAAGGTTCAATTCGTTAACGGATTTTCATAGGACGTGGAATCCTTGGTACCAATACGTGGAAAAAATCACAGTTAATAATAAGATATGAAGTATAATGTTTGTGGATTAACAGTATTGAGTTATAGTGATATGAAAATGATAAAAGGATAGTATGTTGGGATTATATTATGCATTCTTCTTATAGTGAGGCCTATGTAGATACTGTTTAATTATCTAACAAACAGATTTTGCTAAGATTAAACCTTATTAGCCAATGTAACTAACATCTGAGATGGGGTATAAGGTAGTTATCGAATTTCATTAGTTTTCTAATCCTTCTGACCTGCTTAGGAAGACAGTATGTTTAGTTGTTTTAGTTGTTTGTATTGTATGATGGTTGTACTCTGTATTTTTTGGATTGTTTGTCTGTATGTGATTTGTATGTTTGTTGTGTTTATGTTTATTTTATCTCAATAAAAGTTTTTAAAAAAATAAAAAAAATTGGCCCATCCTGCTTAGGAAAGCCCTGCCATGCCCTTGGCTGAAACAGATGTTCCAACAAAGCAGCCTCATGTCAGCAGTGACTGTACAGTGGCTATCACTCTGCACTATGGCTTCAGTAACCTCAGTTCAAATCTGAGTCATGACAGAAATTTAGGCATTTTTAAGAAATTCTTTTCCTTTCTCAAGGAGTGCTAAATGGTCTTCTGTAAATCTCACTGAACATTTATACTGCCAGACCAAAAGAGCTGGTTCTCAAGATATCACAGGGAGTTGAAATCAGGATCTCTGCTTTAGACAAAGGTTTCACTCAGCCTTGGCCATGGTACCCCACACTGCAAGCTTCTCCTAGTCTTTCACAAGAGTCAAGAGTGACATCCTATATTAGCAATATATGCACCCTTCTGTTGAGGCGGCTTGATGGCAAATATTGAAGATGCGTAGGTTTATAGCTACCTATCTGTCCTATTGGTTTTGCATTATAATTGTTGTTTAGAGCACAAAAGTTTCAAATCCTGAACAAGTCCATACTGCAGAAATAAAGTAGTTTGACACCACTTTAACTGGCATGACTCTATCCTACAGAATCCTGAGATTTATAGTTGGGTGAGGCACCATAGCTCTCTGACAGACCAGGCTGAATATTTCACCAAACCACAAAGCCCAGGATGGAGCCATGACGTTTAAAGTGATGTCAAACTGCTTTATTTCTGCAGTATGGATACACTGAAGATTATGTAAGCTGACTATACAGTACAATTCTCATTTTTTTCAGGATGGTAAGGAGCTCATTTTCATTGACAAAAACACCTAGGCAATCTTTTGGTTAGCTGTGACTTTCTGTGACCAGCAACTCTTATTTCCCAGTCAGTATAGATGCACTCATCTTCCCAAGGCTTTGGTTGTGATCCTGTAGTGCAGAGGTAGACAACCTTTCCCCTTTAAGGGCCGAGGGACTTCAGCTCCCAGAAGCCTCAGCCATGTTGGCCAATAGTCCCATGTTGGCCAATAGCTCCTGGGATTCTGGGAGCTGAAGTCCCTCGGCCCTTAAAGGGGAAAGGTTGCCTACCCCTGCTGTAGTGGCTAGTACTCTGCACTATGATTTAAATATGGGTGGCTTGTTGATCAATTGTGCCTCCTCACACCATCTCATGTTTTGGTACCCCTTAGATGCAAAAGTTGTCACTGGCTTGTAGCAACCTCAGTTCAAACCCAAGCCATGGCACATACTCAGTATGTGTAGAGTCGTCCCTCCACATTCATTGAGGTTAGGGGAATGAGACTACTGCAAATGTGAAAAAACCACAAATAACTACCCCCCTCAGATGCCAGTTAAAGAGAGGGGAGCAGGGGCATGCACTCCTTTTTTCCCACCTCCATCCCTTTAACTGGCTCACTGCCCCTTTCCTAGCCAGATTGCTGCCTTCTCCAGAGGGTGATTGGACAGGGAAAGGCAGGAGGAGTCTCCACCACCCCCCAAGACCTTTTCACTACCGGATCGCTCCCTAGGCGGCCCAAGGAGCGATCTGGCAGGGAAAGCCCAGGGAGCAATTGGGCATGGAAAGGGCTCCCCCTTCCCATTGACCCTTGGGCAGCCCAGCGGGAAAAGGGTCCTAGGAGGTGGAGGCTGCTCCTGCCTTTTCCTGCCCCTTCACCCACTGGGCAGCCCAGGGAGCAATGGAGTAGGGAAAGGGTCCTGGGGGGATGGAGGCTCCTCCTCCCTTTCCCAACCAGATCACTGCCTGGCTGGCCAGGAAAAATATGGAGTTGGATCCCACGCTTTTTCTCCTGAGAGGAAAAGCCAGGGAGGGAGGGGGAGGAGAAATGTCCGGGCTAATAGCCTTGCCCTAGCAAATAATCAAAACCACGAGTGTCAAGGCCACAAATATAGAGGGCCAACTTTATGGATTAATTTTGCTTTGAGGAACAAAAAAAATGAGCTCCACTGTACCACACCCAATGATTAGTTTCCAAGAACAAAGTGATCCTTTAGTAGTGTGTATTCTCTCTGCTTGGAACCTCTGAGAGCCAACTGCAGCATTCCCTGCCTAAAGCCCTCGTAATTGGATTTATAACATAGCCTTAATGATCAAACTCCTATTTGCATACATCAGCTTCATTATTTTATATACTGTGGAGTCAGTGGTATCACTGGGGTTGGTGTCCCCAGGTGTTGGAATTCATGGTGTCACACACACCCCATTGACTTCCTCCCCCACTACACCATACAGAATCCTTAGTAATGGTTTCTGCACCAATGTTACTCATAAATTGTTATTCCTGTATATCACTGAATATGTCTGCGAGTAGGAGTTTGATCTTTAGGGCTATGTTATAAATCTAATTGCGAGGGTTTTAGGCAGGGAATAGTTGTGACATAAACAAGTAACAAAATTTAAATTGTGCCTTTAAATTACAATATAATGTGCACAGCGTAAATGTATTTATATGTACATAGTGTCATGTGATTAAAGTGAAAATTTGGAAAGATGTGATGTTTTTAAAGAAAATTTTGAAATAATTTAAAAATTAAATTTAAAAAAATATTTTTAAAATTAAATTTTGAAATTTAAAATGTCCTTTTTTAAAAAATGGCCTCTCCTTTGTCCTCCCAATGAGTCTTTCCCCACTCATACCACCTCGTCAGTGTTTTAAAGGGACACAGATGAATGCCACGGCTCATTTCTGCCCAAAGTCAGATGTTTGGGGAACAATGGTGTCACCCTTCCCTTAGGGCAGGGGTAGGGAACCTACAGCCCTCCAAGTTCTGATGAACTACCATTCCCATCAAGCCTCACCACCAGCCAAGCTGAAGGAAGTTTTAGCCAGGCTCATGAGAGCTTGGTAATAGCCCGTTCCATTATGGTGATGCTACAACCAAGCCCCCATGAATCTGACTAAAACTTCCTTGAGTTTGGCTAGTGATGAGGCATGATGTGAATGGTAGTTCATCAGAACCTGGAGAGCCATAAGTCCCCCACCCCTTTCTTAGGGTGTTACCTGGTGCACCTGTGACTCCTGCATGGAATCTACTTTTGGGGAAGCAAAATGTATCACTCATATTTCATTGAATATCACTCATGTTTCACTGAATACATTTTTGGTCTAGTTTGTTTTTGCAGTTTTTACCACATGTAACACTGTGGGACTGAAGACTGCATTTGTCAGGAGTGTGGTGAATCAATAAGGAACATAAATGAAAAGTAATGTGCAAGAAAGGACTAGATGGTGCGAGAGAAACTGCCAACAAACATTCAATGATCAACTGTCTTCTGAAAACCATTATTTGAACTCCCTGTGGCATTTTGCCTCATTATAGGTAATCCTCTCTTTTAATCTCTTATAGTAGAATGTCCAAATCCATGTATATATAACTGAAATTAAGCCCCATGCCACAGCATGAACACTTTAGAACTTTATCTTCAAAACATTTCTATCATGATTAGTACATGGACACCATTTTCTCTCTGGCACTCTAAGCTATTGAGCATGGAACCACTGGTTAATTAATGCAATTTAAGTTGCAGGCAACTCTACTGAAGCAAGGAATTCTTGGAGTCAATTTAGACTAAAATATCAGGTCAGTGGAATGTGCAGCATTTCTTGGAACACAATATAGGGTTTTTCAGGCATAGATCTGGCCTGAGGGAATGGATGTATTTTTCAACTGGCTATCTATGGTGCTTATTGGACATTGGGTCTGCATTGTCTTCAGGTGTTGTCGTTTGTCTGCCTTCTTTTTTCAATCTATACATTTGAAGAAAAGAAAAGAAAGCAAGGGCCTTTACAGATTGACAGAAATAATGCAACTTGAGTCCACTTTAACTGTCCTAGCTTAGTGCTAGGGAATCATGGGAATTGTAGTTTTTTCTGAGACACTGAGCCTTCTCTGTCAGAGAGCTCTGGTGCCACAATAAAATACAGTTCCCATGATTCCCTAGCACTGAGCCAGGGCAATTAAAAGTGGTCTCAAGTTGCATTATTTCTGGCAGTCTGTAAAGGCCCAGTTAATTTTCATAGAAACATTACCAAATTCCAGTATTCTATCCCTTCCCATGAATACAAATTAAGGCTGCCTTGAGCTTCACAACACTCACAAATGGCAGAGACAAATTTGTAGAACAAACATGTCTGTTGTGAAGTCGTAGGCTTTCATGGCCGGCATCCATAGTTTTTTGTGGGTTTTTCAGGCTGTGTGGCCATGTTCTAGAAGAGTTTCTTTCTGATGTTTCACCAGCATCCAAGCATTTGTTGGACAACTTCAACAGAAAAGAAGAAACTCTTAAAGTAAACAAGGTTTGGCTATCAGTCCTACAAAATAGGAAAATCAGCACTCAGCAAATGCAAATGGGAAACCAACCAGGGTCAGGGGCTTTCCCAGCAGACAATGAACACCAATTACCAGACAATAATCCTTGTTTGCATATCCTCCTACCCTGAGGTCCTGCCATCAACAACAGAACAATACCCATTCAACAACAGAACAATACACAGTTTACAGGGGAATCACTCCTCCCTACCCAGGGTCTCACAGTATATATAGACCCATTCTCTTCCATTCCAGCATTCTCTGAAGATGCCAGCCACAGATGCTGGCAAAATGTCAGAAAGAGACTCTTCTAGAACATGGCCACACAGCCTGAAAAACCCACAAAAAAATAAGCATGTCTGTTATCATGAATCAGTCTAGCAATAAATTTTAATCTGAGGCTTCCCATCCAAAGAAGTTTCACTGTATCAATAGAGCAGAGTTTCTCCAATGATAATCCTTGACCACTATAAAAACTTTCAAGTCGTATTGTTTAGTGAACTGAGGAATGAAAATTTGGTTTTATCCCCAGTAGCTGGATGTAACACTAAGTGGGAATCAACAAAGCAGAAAGGGCCTACTTCGGAGTTCAATGCCTCTGTTTGATAAAATAAAGCTTACACTTCCAACAACTCTGAAACAACAGCAGCTGTTACATTATGCATGACTTTTTATTACTTACAGGATCAGTGTTCAAAGGAAAGATAAGTGAAATATTAGGCTTTTAATAGGTTAGTTGTTTTTATCTTGTATAATATGTCTTCTAGTAGCAGTGGGACATATAGTTGCTTGCCATTCAGGAATCTGTTGTTCCATTAAGCAGTTTTCTATATTGAAGA